CCAAAATCACTAAGACCCAACAATTTCATACAGGAAGTGTGTGAAATTTTAAACAGCAGGTATTTCTAAATCTATTTAGGCGTTGGAAAAGAAGAAAAAATTCTAAGTCTTAAGCTAAACATAACATCGATAGAACAATCTAACAAATGGCATAATGAAAGAAAATTATAGACATATACTTATTTAATTTAAACATTGGCTGAGAGAATCTAACTGCATTAAAAAAACAAGATATTATGACTAAATGGAGTTTAAGACAGTAAAGCAATGATAGTTTAAATAAGTTAATCTAGCAGTAATTCTTATCCTGTTAGTAGATCCAAGAAGAAAAGTTATAAGATCATTTTTCATGGGTGCTATTAAGCATTTGAAAAATTTCAGTATTTAGTCTTGTTCTAAACACACACTCACATAACAGTACGTGAATACTTCCTTGAACTGAAAACGTTTTCTCTATCTCTTAGCTATTTTAGCCCCAAACCAGCATTTTACTTACAGGGGAAATATTTAAGGCATTTCTGCCAGTCATTGAAATAGACTGACGGGTATAATTGATGGAGAAAAATAGAGCTATAAGTGATGGAAGAGAAGAGACCAAATTTACTTTGCTTTGTTGCGGTTGATATGGTTGAGTACCTGGAAAACCCACATGGGGGCTCACCTTTCTTTCCTTTGTTCTCTGACTCTTCAACCTAGCAGGGCTTCTTTGCTGCCAGAGTTCACTTCTATGAACTCTTCAGGAAAATAGTCCCTAGCATTTCTGCAGGGAGGAGGCAGACATTCACTCTCCTAAGTCCGGGGGGGTGGGGAGGGAAGAAGCAGAACTCAAGCAGAACTCTTTCTATCATTATTAAACATAAAAGCAAAGAACCAAACAGGGCCAAACAATTGAGGGTTCTCAATTAGGTAAAATATTGTTGGGTACCATTGACGCAGACTGAAAGGGTATTTGGTGTTAGGATTCTTAAAATCAGCGTTTAGGAGAGGTGAGTTCACAGGCGTGACTAAGCTGGGGTGGAGAAAAAGATCATTTAGGAGAAGAGAAGAGGTGAGAGACCTGAGGGCCCAGCATGCTGACCACTGTAATCAAACTCTCTAGAGAGCTTTCACCTGCTTGTTGTTCATGTCCAGGCTCACGCACATCCAGTCCCCATTCCAAACTTCCTACCTTCTCATAACTTCAGTGTTGTCACTCCTCCTGTTCTTAAGCTTGTGACTTTGATCCCTATGCACTGATGAAGTTTCTTTTATTATTTCAGACTTCCTTCCTCCTAAGTCTCTAACACTCTGTAATACATTCTGAGCACACACAGCATGCCAGGAACCAATCTAAGTCTTTCAAAATCAGTCTATCGTTTAATGCACAGAATCAACTAAGGAGATAGATACTACTATCTGTCACATTTATATAGAAGAAGAACCAGAAGTGTGGAAAAGTTGAATCAAATCCTCAAGATCAAGGATTAGCAAATGTTGGGTTCAATATTCAAATCCAATTTAGCAATCAATGCTGATGCTCCACATGTCCTAGCTTCCTTCCTTATTTTATATATAAACATCTTTTCGGCCACATTTAAGTTTCCATTCATTTTCATATTGTTTATTGAATCTAACTTGTTACCTTAAACATTGTAGTCACTTAATTCATGTTTATTTGAATAACTAATTAAGTGAAATCATCTGCCTAGAGCTTGTCAACTATCTCTCTACTGACAAAAAGTATGTCTCGATCCTCACTTTTCAATCTTTTTCCAGCTTTTAATAGTATGTTTCATTTTATCTTTTTTTTTTTTTTTTTGGTGCCGTGACTCGGATTGTTTCATTATATCTTGAACACACAATCAGGAGCCAGGGGATTGGATTAAGAGAGCGCTAATTGATTTATAGGATTATTGACCTTTGAGCCCATTCTGTTCCCTTTCCTGTTGAGGATGACTCCAGAGAGAACAGTATTTTTAGGGGATGGGATTGTCTCATTTGAAACTAGCATGTCACATTAGTGAAAATGGGGCTATATATTATTTTGGGTTATTTTTTTTCTTGTTAAAAGTTGAGATTGATTAGGAAGTGAGAATTTTCTCTGTTAAAAGTTTAAAGCATTTGGTTTTAAGTTGTGGAGACATTTTTCACTTTTACATTGGAAATTATGATGGAGTTTGCATTTTTTCTAGATTAAAACATATGTATATATCACATAAATATGGTCTCTTGGGTAGCTAGTTTTGGTATATTGCCATGTTTAAATTTTTAGGCAAAACTTTGCAGATTTTTCAGGAAAATTATTTTCATTCTATGGGAAACTGGAGAATTTTCCAGAATTGAGTTGAGTGAGTTTAGAGGATTAAGAGATTCGATAGGGATAGTGCTGACTGAATTTGGTTTTTGAAGGAATATGTAGGAGCAGGCCATCAGTCCTTGATGCTTTCTTTTGAGGTTGAAAAGGGGAAAATCACATTTCTGGATGTTGTATATGTTCTTGTGAAGTCAGGAAGTCATATTAAAGGAAAACTCCCTATTTGTCTTCCCACCCTTGATTCTTGTTTTTAAAAAGACATATGAAAGAATTTAAGGCAAGTACTTATAGTACTTTTTACATATGAAATGGAGTTTAAGAGTTTAAAATCTTTACTTTTCATTTTGATGATTTTTAATTATTTTTGTTTTATTTTATTAGATTTTTAACATGAGGCAAGATGAGGTTACCTCTGGAGGCTAAAGGGGCATGTGTACGTCTTTGTATATTTCCATGTTCAGGTTTCACAGAAATATTTTCACTCAAAATCATTTCCTTTAGTGAGCTAGCATACTGGTTTACTAGCAATGGAAAGAACATTTTGTGGTCAGTGATTGATTAGGTGACTATGGGATTACATTGGAGCTGACTGAATAAAGTTGTTCTTTGAGTCATATATATCTTCACTAATTTTTCTGACTAAACTAACAATAAAGAAACATCCCATTTCCTTTGAGAAGAAATGGCTGAATCCAGGATTCAATACCTGAATGAATGGGCCAGCTGGGAGATACCAGTCAACACCTGTCTCAGGGAATGTGCAAGTGCCATCAAAGTCCTGCCCTGGGAACTTTTCCCAGACACTTCCTGGGGCTGGGAGGCCTTCCGGAGGCCCATGTGGCTCTCACCTGGCTCACTGTCCTCAAGGACAATGGGATTCCCTTAAGTTTTATGAATCAGGAGGCTGAAGCTGACCTTTCCTTATGGTGACATTCCCTGCTGGCCTCAACCCTGGCTTCAACTGCGAGGAGGCCATCAATTTTGCTACCTGGGGATAGATTGATTACAGCACAGTGGGCTGGCGATGCAGCTGGGGGGAGGCCAGGGTGACCTTTTCCATGGATACATTCGTGCACATCCTGCAGTCTGAGCACTAAGTGCTGTGAAAATGCAAGAATGACGGTGGGGTTGTGGACCCCTCAGAATCCAGAGTGCAGGTTGGCCAGGAGCTGACCACCTGGAGGGAGGTCCAAGTGCCTGGAAGAGAAGCTCTGGGTCTGAGGCACCTCCTGAGACGCCAGGCCCACATCCCTCTCGGCCTGTGGCCATGGGCCGAGGGATCTACTGGGTTCGCCCCTGTGAGTTGGGCTTTTGCGTGACCCAAGCAGCCTGCAGTGCTGCAGCCAAGTTTCTGCCCCAGTCGGGTCCCGCCACCCACCCTAGGTCAATAGTCCCTGGTTCTGCACCCCTCAACTGGCCAACATGGTAGTGATCATTGTTCTTGGGAAGTGAGAACTCAGGAATTTTACCTTGTAACTCTCAATCTTGGCTTTTCTATGTGTCAGTGCTATGCGGTTAGGTGCGTAAAGTTCATCACTGTAGTATTTTTCTAGTGAATTTTTCATTTCAATAACTATAAACATGTCCTTTTTAACCCTAAAAATACATTTTATATTAATATTGCTACCCTAGGTTCCTTTGATTAATATTTATCCGGATTATGTTTTCCTATTCCTTGATTTTCAACCACTTAGGCTTTTTTTAAGGTTGGTTAAAATTTTTAAATAAAAGGGAAGGGCATAGATACAGTGAGATGTCAAAGCAGGAAATGAGACCTGTGATTACATTGGCTGGGTACTAATCGGATTAGGATGCTGCCCAGCTATAAAGCCAGGGTGGTTGGGACCTCTGGCTTCATTTGCGGTCTAGCTACCAAGAGAAAACCTCTCTGGGTCAGGGAGTATTTTCCTCTGGAATTGAGATATTGCTGGTGAAAGGTTGGTTGCTTTATTTCTATGTTGGACCATATTTGGATATTTGTCTTTTGAGAAATTTTTAACCACCACATTGTTGATAAGAATCCATTGTACTAAAAAACAAAAACTCTACTAGATTATTAGCTGTGTCCTCCATTTTGTCATGATGTGGATTATTTGTATTTTCCCTCTTCTCTTCGTGCCTATGGTCTTAATTCTAACCCTTTTCAAAGAATCAGTTTTTTGTTTTTGTCATTAGCCCTATTCGGTGCTCTGTTTCCTTTTGCCATTCTTTCTGCTTACATCTTTATTTTCTTTCATGTTAATTCACTCAGTTTCTTGAGTCGATTGCTGAATTCATTCAAACCTTGCTTTTTCCACCTTTTATTTCAATTAGATGCTTCTCTTTTTGTTTTATGATTTGACCTTATATCCTGATATTAACAGACCATACCAATTCTGATTAGTTGAACACTACCTGACTATTTCTTTTGCTATGCACTTGTATTAAAATATTCTATATTTTTCTTGTTTAGGTTTAGTGTTTGAACTTCCTTGAAGAGACCTTCCAGTAGAGTGGGGTTAGGTTTACTCTTGCACCCAAACGTGAGGATCAGGAGGGGCTTCAGAGATAGTGACACCACCAGCTGAGGAACCACACAGAGCTTCGGGCTGAGGCAGGACTTGTGTTGCTGTGCCTGCTCCTGCGGTAGATACTTTATTCGTTTTGGCAAAAAATACTGACTAGAGGGGATCCCCTTTGGGGACCTGCTACTTATTATATTGTAACCATGGGGTCTGAGGACGCTGGTACCCAGAACCCAAGTTTTACAATCATGACATTTTACCCAACCATGGAAGAATTTACAGATTTCAACAAATACATTGCTTATATGGAATCCCAAGGTGCACACCGAGCTGGCGTAGCCAAGGTAATTCCTCCCAAGGAGTGGAAAGCCAGACAGACCTATGATGACATCAATGACATCTTAATAGCTGCTCCCCTCCAGCAGGTGGCCTCTGGGCAGGCAGGGGTGTTTACTCAATACCATAAAAGGAAGAAAGCCATGACCCTGAGAGAGTATCGCTGCTTGTCAAACAGTGAAAAATATCGGGCTCCACCACACCGGAATTTTGAAGATTTGGAGAGAAAATATTGGAAGAATCGCATCTATGATTCACCAATTTATGGTGCTGATGTCAGTGGCTCCTTGTTTGATGAAAACACTAAACAGTGGAACCTTGGGCACCTGGGAACGATTCTGGACCTATTGGAGCAGGAATGTGGAGTTGTCATCGAAGGCATCAACACTCCCTACCTGTACTTTGGGATGTGGAAGACCACCTTTGCTTGGCACACGGAGGACATGGACCTTTACAGCATCAACTACCTGCACTTCGGGGAGCCCAAAACTTGGTACGCGGTGCCCCCAGAACACAGCCAGCGCTTGGAACGTCTGGCTCAGGAGCTTTTCCCGGGCAGTTCCCGGGGCTGTGAGGCCTTCCTGAGGCACAAGGTGGCCCTCATCTCGCCCACTGTCCTCAAGGACAATGGGATTCCCTTCAGTCGCATGACTCAGGAGGCTGGAGAGTTCATGGTGACCTTTCCCTATGGCTACCATTCTGGCTTCAACCATGGCTTCAACTGCGCGGAAGCCATCAATTTCGCGACCCTGCGATGGATCGATTCTGGCAAAGTCGCATCTCAGTGCAGCTGCGGGGAGGCCAGGGTGACCTATTCCATGGATGCCTTCGTGCGCATCCTGCAACCCGAGCGCTATGAGCTGTGGAAACGCGGGGAAGATCGAATGGTTGTGGACCACAGGGAGTCCAGGGCGCCAGCCAGCCAGGAGCTGAGCCAGAGCGAGATCCAAGTGCTCAGGAGAGCCGCGCTGGGCCTGAGGCTCCTCCCACCCTGCCGGCCCCCAGACTTCCCTCAGTCTGTGGCCCCCAGGGGTCAGAGAGCCAGGGTGGGCCTAAGGGGCTCCTACAGTCGCCGAGCCCGACCTTCCAGTTGGCCTGTGGTCCCGGGTGCCCTTCTAAGCTCTCCGACCTCACGTCTTTTAGTGGTCCAAGGGGCTGCTCCCCATCTCGGGGCCACTGCTGCCCACAGCTTCCAAGATCCCGCCCCGGTCCTGCCGCTGACCCTGGTTCCAACCACCCTAGATCTCCTTTCCTCACCTGGCACACGTGGTCATAGTCGTGGTCGTGGTCGTGGTCACCGTGGTGGTGGTTGTGGTCGTGGTCGTGGTAGTGGTCCTGGTCATCGTCCTCGGGAACTGGGGCTTCAGGAGCCGACCCTCCTGCCTGACGCCAAGAGGAGAGTCTTGCAGGGCACAGCACACTCAGTTGTGGGCACGGAGCCTCATCCCCTATCTGCTAATGGAGGGTTGATGCACGAGCCTGCACCTTTGAGCCCTGGACTCCTGTATCCTGCCATGGCATCTGGCTGCTGCTGTGCCCCCGATCTCCAACCCTTGGGGCCCCCACTGGATCCCAATAATCAGATGCACCCTGGCCCCTGCCTGCTATCCCTGGACAGCATTGACCTGGATCTCCCTGACATTGTCCCCCTGACTCCTCTCAATGCCATTGTGTCTTTGAAATAGTTCTCCAGGGATGCTGCTCAGGACTGCCCAACCCCTGTGGACTTGGCTGAGGTTGCAGCAATGGACCACTTCTATGATTGTAGAATCCTGCCCCAGCTAAGGTTGCCATAATCTCCTGGGACTAAACCTAGATTGAGCTGCACCTCTGAATTTGGAGATATTTGCCACCAATGAATGATCTGAATCCTCTGAACTCATGGCTATTAGATGTTGCCAAAGATGGTGGTGCCTCTGACCCTCAACCCCAGGAATCACAGAAGGTCCAGCCAAGGGAGAATTCTGGCCTGCACCTGTCCCTGTTGGAGACCCTTTTATCTCAAAGAACTGACACATTCCAAGGCTTCCAGATATTTTTTTCTGCTGTGACATCCAGGGCTACAACTGGCAACTGAAGTGGACCTCCCTACCCCATAGGTTGCCACAGGATGCAGTAGTAGCTCTTGGCCTCTCAGCACACTCTTGACCATTAATGTGCCTCTAGAGCCTACCATGACTAGAACCCATGGACAGGGCTTGTTTCTGATGCCCTCCCCATGATAACTCCCCTGTGGAGGTAAGCCTCTAGCCCCCACAGTGGTTTGAGCCAACACGTAATGATGCTGAGAATCTGAGTCCCTTAATTGATCCTTGAGTATTCTCTGGGCCTCTGAATCACTGACCCTGGCTTACCCTGGACATGACTACAGTCCCAGTGAGGCCCAGGGCTCCTCACTGCTCTGAAACTGTGACTTGCTCTACCTTCCAGGCCACCACCAACCTCTGCTCAAGCACAAACTCAACTTTTTGACTAATTGAGTCTGTCAGCCTTCAGTCTGGCCTCAGAAATGTTTTGTAACTTTATTAATGTTTATCAAATTTATTATTCCTAGTGTGTATCTGAAAAGAAAAATAAAATCATTAAAAAATATTCAAAAAAATACATAGTTTTAATCATAATTATACAAAATACTTGTATTTCACGTAAAGTGATTCTATAGGATAAAGATAAAAGAATGGGCAAAACTATGCCAAGGAAAACGCAAACAATCAGAAAACAAAAGTCATGGATGTTAATATCAGACAAACTAGAATTGGGACCAAATGTACATGGAAGAGCTCTTTATAATGCTACAGACTGAGTTACCTAATGAAAATACAGCAGTCATGAATGTTCGTGCAAGTTATTTAGGTATAAAATATAATAGATTCAAGATAAGTTAAAGCAACACATTAAAAATAGGGCAACTAAAGTCAGCTGTCCTGGTCCAAGACAGAAAAAATAGACATGCATAATGATACAGAATACTTAAACTGCATTAACAGTAAGGTAGAATTTATGTACCTGGTAATAGAGATAACTCCTTTTTTTCAAGTGCCAATGGGTCATTCCCAAAATTAGTAACATTTTGGAGTGAAAAGGAAATATCAATGAATTATAAAAGCAAAGAATAAAATCAAATATTCTTAATTAGCATACAATAAGACTAAAAATTAATCTTAAAAGTTGGAGAACGTAGAGTTCCTTCTTCCTGGCAAGGTAAAAATTCTCTATTGAAGGACCTTTAGCTTAGAGGGAAACATAAGCCAAAGTAACCAAATTCCTAGTAAATGGAAACAATTGTTTACATGATGAACTCTGCAACCATGCAACCTGATTTTGAATCCTACCTTTATCTATTACCCCATGTGTGACCTTGAAAAACTATTTAATTTCATGCTGTCTCAGTTTCTCAGCTTAACATGGCGATAGCACCTACCGCATGTGGTTGGTTGGACAGTTCCATGAGTTACATTTGTAAATTGCTAAGGAATGGTGCTGATTGAATTCAATTTTTGGTGGAACATACAGACCCAGACCATGAATCCATGCTGCTTCATTTTGAGGTTGAGTCCAAAAGGGAAAACTTCTTTCTGGCTCTTGGAATACATTCATGTGGAATCAGGATTTCATCTTAATGGAAAATTTTCTATTTATAAACAAACTTTATTATTTGTTTATAAAAATATGTAAAAGAAATTAAGGTGATAACATTTTACATTTGTGATGGAGTTTAAAATTTTAAAGTCTTTCCTTTTCATGTTTTTAAATTTTATTTTATTAGATTTTAATATAAGGCAAGAGGAGATTAACATTTCAGAGTATAGAAGTATGTACGGTTTTTTAAAAAAATATTTTAATGTTCAGGCTTCAAAGAAATATTTCCACTCAAAATTGTTTCCCTTAGTAAGATGTAAACAAACTCAGGTTTACTAGCAATGGGAAAATAACAATTTGGAGTCCATTATCTGGTGACAATGGGATTACATCAGGGTCAATTGAATAAAATGATTCTTCCAATCACGTCTAGCTTCACTAATATTTTTGACCGAATTATTGATTTTCACAATCCCATGTGTTTTGAGCAGAACTGGCTGAATCCGGCATTCAACACCTGAATGAACTAGCCAGAGGGGAGTTGCTTAAACAGTTCAAGTTAGAATTAGTGGTGGTCTGTGACAGACCACCCCTTTTGTTGCATCCCCCCTTTTGTTGTTACAGTAGTTAGTAGTTATGTTTTGGATGGTAGCAATTTCACATATGTCTCCAGCAACTTCAGCTATATCCAGAACTGACCCTGGGACTCAGGAGTTTGGTGCTTATTAATTCAGAACCATAGCATCTGTGGAACGTGGCATCCAGAATCTCAGTTTTACAATAATGACGTTTCTTCTGGTCATGAAAAAAATTTAAATAATTTACAAATAAAAATCTACATGGAATCCAAAGACACAGACACACAGGGCAGGCCTAAGCAATAGCAAATCAGGATGTCCATGCCATGGTAATAGCCTCTCCTTTCCAAGAGGTGGCCAAAGGAGGGGAGGTGCATTTATTAAATACCTGGTGGGGAAAAGGCCCTGGAGATGAGGGAGCATCACCAATATTGGCAGGAAGAAGTATTAGACCCAGGCACAGCTGAAGGTTAAAGATTTTGGGCAAAAATGTTAGTAGACTATCTTATACATGCGACCAAAATACGGTGTTAAAATCAGGGGCTCCTTATATGTTAAAAATGTTGAAACCTGGGAACAATTTTTGAACAGTGGAAGAAATTCAGAGTTGTCATTGAGTGTCAACACATCTTCCCTGTACTCTGGCATGTAGAAGACCACCATCGCTTAGCACATGGAGGACATAGACCCACGTAGAAGAATGACATTACAACTACCATCTAACCAACTGAGCTAACCAGCCACACCATTTTATGTTTCATAATGATCACTATGAGGGCTGAGTACAGAATGGATGGGCTTCAAAATCCCAGAACAGTGGTTCTCAAAATTAAATGTACATTTGAACCATATGGGGATCATGCTAAAAGGCAGATTCTGATTCAGTATGATTGGTCTGGGGCCTGGGATCCTGCATGTTCAATAAAATATCAGGTGTTGCCAATGCTGCTGGTTATGAACCATTCTTGGAGTAGCAAGGATGTAGAAGACTCCACTGGGATTCTCCTATAGGAGCTTGACGTCTCCACGGGGGTTCTCCAGCTCTTGTTCCCTTCTCTGCCACAGAAGAATCAGTGTTACCTGGGAACTTGTTAAGAAAAGCCAGTTCTAGGGCTGCCCCTCCCAGACCTAGTCAATTAGACACTGTAGGATAGGACCCAGAAATCTGTTTTAACAAGCTCTCCAGGTGACTCTAATCTACAGCAAACTTTGAGAAACACTGATCTCTATATGTTGGTGGTTCTCAACCAATGAAATCAGTGTTTCTGGAAGTATGACCAGACATCAGTACTATTTTTTAAAAACTTCCCAGATGGGATGGAATCAGGTGATTTCAGTGGGCAGTCAAGAGTAACCCAGTCTGTCACAGATGTTTAAACACAACTGGATCAGCTGGGTTTTAAGGGACATGTGGCAAAGCAGCTTTTACTACAGTCTTCACTTGGCAGAAAGTCATTTTCTTGCGCTGGGTCCAACCCAGAACAGGCAGCCTTTTTACCTGGTAAATGATATGTGCTGCCTCCAAATTCCAATGAGGCCCAGGAAATTCTGCGACTCTTTCCTAGTATTTGAAGCATTGAAGTGTTCACCAATTTATCCTTCACTTTGAAGGAGATATCCCAATGTAGTCCAGACACCAGGATTAAAAGAACTTCATCGATTTAGCAAGAACCTATATTCCAATCACATTTCTCTTTCAACTCTTGGTATATGTATGTATGTTACCACGTGACCTAGAATTTGCTACTTTCTATTCTCTTGGTCCCATCGGAATGATATTATCCACAAGATAACCCAGTGTCCGGTGTGATGGTGTGTTGGTAAAGATCCCAGCTGACTTGATACTAGCTCAGAGCCATAATAAATAAACTCCATGTTAGATTGTTAATGAGTTTTGTGATCCTTTCTAGGTTTCATTGTTGTTATGTGTTAGGGTAAAGAAACAAGCATTACCTGATCAATAGTTTCATCCAGGTGTCAACTGTCCAGTGGTCTCTAGGAGCAGGCATTGTTTTTATAAAAAAGGCAGGTTTGGAATCAAGCAGGCCTAGGTTTAAAGCCTACCTCTGTCACTCACTAGAAGTTATGGGGAGTTGAGTAAATTGACTTTTTCTCTCTGAGCCTTAGATTCCTCATCTGTAAAATAGAAATAATATGCCCACTTCATAGATTGCTGTAAGGAATATATTCGATAATCCATGCAAATCATCTTTTAACAGTGCCTACCACGTATTAAAGGCTTAATTAACAGTAATTATCATTTTATCTTGATTTGTCTCTTTGGAGACCACCTGGGAGTGTGGGTTCTGCATGGCCTTTGGAAAAGTCTGGGTCAGGATGAGGGAGAGTTTAGGCGAGCCTTAGGAGAGTAAAAGTAGAGGAGCAAGTCCAGAGAGGATTGTGTTAGTCTGTTTTCTGTTGCTTATAACAGAATACCCGAGATTGGCTAATTTATAAAGGAAAGGAGTTTATTTCTTACAGTTATAAAGTCTGAGTCCCATGTGAAGGGGCTGCATCCTGTGAGGGCC